GTTATTTATTTATTTTGCCATGGAGTCGGATTGCTTAACGCTAGCAGCATTGCCATGCCAGTTAAGCCGGCTTAATGAGACCAGCACAGGACTGGGACTGGTGTGAACAATAAACACCATCCAGTGACCCTGCCAGCTTAATCACACTGTCTCCAGCACAGTCAATATGAGCTCCGTTTGACTGTATATTGACAGTGGAGATGGACAGTGCAGTGATGAAAACTCAGTAGGAGAACACAGAAGACGCTGAATCCTCTGTGGGAATGTAGAGAGACTGGAGGAGAGGTGGATTATGGGTTAGAGCGAGGGAGAAAACACCCTGTGGGTACTGATGGAAAGAGAAGAGGGAAAATGCTTTCATCTTAACCCTTGAGGATAACTAAGTCCCAGGAAAACTTTCTTACACACATACACTCACAGACACACTTAAAGCTGTCATTTTGATGGACTTGTGCACTTATGAACATAAGTCTTGATATTGTGATTATTGACATTTATTTTTTATGCTTCTATTCTATTCTATTTAGTCAAATTACGAAAAAGTGACAGCATCAAGTTACATTCTATTCTATTCTATGCTGTCATGATTTAGTCAAATTATGAAAACGTTATAGCAGCAAGTTACATTTTATTATATTCTATTTAGTCAAATTATGAAAAAGTGATAGCCACAAGTTACACTCTATTCTATTCTATTTAGTCCCATCATGAAAAAGTGATAGCAACAAGATACATTCTATTCTATTCTAGTAGTCCAATCATGAAAAAGTGATAGTAACAAGTTCTATTCTATTCTATTCTATTCTATTCTGTGTTTGATTTAGTCCAATTATGTAAAAGTGATAGCAGCAAATTTTATTCTATGAAAAAGTGATAGTAACATGTTCTTTTCTGTTCTGTTCTATTCTGTTCTGTATTTGATTTAGTCCAATTATGGAAAAGTGATAGCAACAAATTACATTCTATTCTATTCTATTCTATCCTATTCTATTCTCTGTTTGAGTGAAGTATTTTTGAAGTCTTAGCACATTTAAAAGTGGTTTATAACCATCTGTGGTTCGCGCTTGCAGGCCTGAGCTGCACATCGCTGCTTCCCCCTCGGCAAGGTTCTTTCTATGTAGAGAAGGGCAGTGGGATGTCCGTGGGAACTGTTTTGGCGTTCTGGTGCCTCGAGGGATACCAGCTGGTGGGCAGCGAGACGATCACCTGTGTCCTGCGTAGCGACACCGCTCAGTGGAGCAACTACCCACCCGACTGTGAGGGTCTGTGTTCACTGCCATCATTTCTGTTTTAAGAGAGAAAAACTCCTAAGAAATGCACTCCTGCTAATTCAATCCCAGATTTTCAATGTGCACTATTGTGTAAATATGGTAGCCATTCCTAAACCGGAGGACCGCGGGCTGAGAGTGGCCGTGCTGGCATCGGTAGTGAGCAGCATCGTCATCCTCGCCATGTCCGTGTCCTTCATCATCTGCTGTCTGCAGGAGCGCATGAGCAAAGAGAGGGCAGAACGGACAGACGGACGGGGCAGGTATGCACATCTGGGGAGGAAGAGACAAGGGAGCTTAAAATAGGCAAAGAGGATGCTAATGATTTCTCTGACTTTCCAGGACGAGAGACAAGCGCAAATCGTCCTGGAAGAGCGAGTGCTGGCTGGAGAGAGACGAAGGAGACTGGGAAGCTTTTCCACCACCTAAAATTTACAACCTTTCCCAGCATCTTGACCCCCATCTGACCCCTGAGAGCCCAGTCTATATGGGGGGACTAGCTGGTTATGATAACTGCGGGTATCAGAGGTGAGAAAATGAGCACTGTTAAATTAAAAAATGTATGGATTAAATCACAATAGTTGTCACAATCATCAAATTTCTGGTACTGTTTAAGAGACACAATTCTGATCTTTCTATGAATTCTGAGTTTGTAATAATGTTTTTTTTTGTTTTGCTTCCATCACAAAATAAAAAATTAAAAAGGTAATTGTGATTTTTTTTATCTCACAATTCTGACTTTTCTTGTAATTGCAAGTTTTCACAATTCTGTCAAAACACTGTCAATTCAGATTTTTCTTTACATCTTTATATATAACTACTACATATATAGATTTATAGCTTGCAATTCTGAGTTTATATCTCACAATTCTGCATTTCTTGCAATTCTGCATTTATATCTCACAATTCCGAGTTTATATCTTACAATTCTGCATTTATATCTTGCAATTATCCACTTATGTCACAATTCTGCATTTATGTCTCACAATTCTGAGTTTATATCTCGCAATTCTGCATTTATATCTCACAATTTTGCATTTACAGTGGTGTGAAAAAGTGTTGGCCCCCTTCCTGACACAGGGCCATGTAGTTTTGGATTTTGTTTTCCCTTAATAATAAAAACCTTCATTTAAAAACTGCATGTTGTGTTTACTTGTGTTATCTTTGACTATTATTTAAATTTGTTTGATGATCTGAAACATTAAAGTGTGACAAACATGCAAAAAAATAAGAAATCAGGAAGGGGGCCAACACTTTTTCACACCACTGTATATCTCACAGTTCTGCATTTATATCGTGCAATTATGAGTTTATATTCTGCAAATCTGATAATCAATCAGAATTACGAGATATAAACTCAGAATAGTAAAACAAAAGTCTGAATTGTGAGGGAAAAAGCTGCAATTATCTTTTTCATTGTTTTTACGCTATGGGGGAAACAAGCTTCCATTAAAAAAACAAAAAAACAAAACAGGATTGTGAGATGTAATCAGAGATGTAGTCAGAATTATGAGAAATAAAGTCTGAATTGTGAGATAAAATTCTACAATTACCTTTTTGATTTTGTATCCCATGGTGGAAACAATCTTTCATAGTAAACAGTTGTGCTGCTTAATATTTTTATGGAAACCATTATGCATTTTTTTAGGATTCTTTGCTGAATGCTCAAAAGAACAACATTTACTCAAAATGGAAATCTTTTTTTTAACATTCCAAATGTCTTTACTGTCACTTTTGATCAATTTAATGTTCTCTTGCTCTCTAAAAGCATACAATTCTTTTTTTTTTTTTAAATGGTGTTTTTGTTTTGCAGGAGTCAGGAAAACCTCCTGAAAGCTCCTCTTCCTGGTCTTTACCGTATGGAAAGTCAGACGTACCCGCATGTGGTCCTGCAGAGGGTTCCCACACCCACAGTGCCGAGTGCACCCAGCGCGCCCGTCTACCTCCGCCTCTCCACCCCTCCGCCCACAGAAAGCCCCAGCGAGCAGCCCGCTCCACAGCGTCTGTGGCCATAGAAACACTTTTATTCAGAACTTTTACAACTGTCGCCATGGCGACGGATTACGGCCCCTACGTGCGAACAGCTCCTGGGGTTCAGAAAACCAAGAGAAATGATGGACTCAAGCTAGAGCCACCTAGATCCCCTCACACAGCTAGATCTAGATGTTAGACCAGGTGTGGGTCCAAATGTAGTTACATTTAGTATGTTGCATATGTGAGGAGATTTCTGAATGACTCGAAGGAGGCCCGTTGTGTAGTTTCCTGGAGAAGAAAGTTATATTAGGAGAGGTGAGGACTCCATACTGGTATTGTTAGTTAGTACTTTTTATTTTTGTGGCAAAGGTTCTGACTACTTGCACTCATAAAATAAAAAAATGCAACTGTGTCAGGTCACATTAGAACATCAATTTAATATTTCTATGTTTTTATATTATGGAAGGGTAGGAGAATTACACTGCTGTCCAGATTACGGACATACACTGGGATCTCATAAACCTATTATACTTCAAACTTGATTTTGTTTATAACAAATAAAAAGATTAAAATCATTGTACATGTGTCTTGTATTTTCTAGTGTCCACAAAAAACAAAAAACAAAAAAAACAAAACAAAACAAAAATATATATATATATATATAAACATACAGTATATACACACACTTATAAGTCCTATTCACATGTAAATATTTAATCTTAGGATCTGACTTTCTGGGTCCAGTCAAACTGACCTACTTGAGCTTGAACTGTCTCATTAGCTGACCATCAAATTAATCAGTTCATCAGTTCAGCTTTGGCATGTTCACAGTATTTTATCTGTATATTGCAGGGTATATAGGAAACAACGCTGTGAAGGACAGAGGATGAAGAAAACAAGATGATGGATGGGTAACAGTGAATTTAGCGTGACTAAATAATTGGCCTTTGCAGATGTTGAATCTTGATTTTTTTTTTTTTTGCTCTGAACAGCTGATTACTTTTATTATTTACAGTACCTGATAAATATTCATGTAATAAAATCATTCTGTTTAAAATTACTATTGTTATAGACTCCATATATATGAGGGTAATGGCGTTTTTACACATTGAATTATGAATGAGAATGCTGTAATGTTGAGAGGCATAATGTCTAACAGTTTAGTTAACTGCTCCCAGGTTAACTAGCACTCCACATCAATAAGAAATGGAAGCGTCTGCTCAACTAAAAGCGACTCGTCTTTACGCCCACAAGATGGTGCGATTGTTCCGCCTTCATTTCAACGTATTTCAGTCATACAACAGTAAACACTCTCTTACATTAAACCGCAATCCTTCTTCCTCAAATGAAAATCAAATAATATACATTCTACATTATTATACAACATATAGTAGGACTATAAAAAGAATAGAACAGGCAAAAATGGATATTCTTCATATTCGTATAATTTCCCCCCTGAAACACAAAAGCAGAAGTTTAGCAGAATGCTCTTTTTAACAACAGTGCAAGGGTACAAAAAATCCAAGCACCAAACACCACCAAATAAAATGAGTCCATACAGCTTTCACGCTATATTACATGTTGGCTGTCAATTTCACCAGCTACAACGTTTTATATTCATTTGTTTTTTACGTTTATAGTCTATCTTTTGTTATTGCTGCATGCATGCGGTATTCTCCTCATAACAAAGAGCCAAGCCATGCTGCACTATTTATAAAGGCGGCTGCGCATGCGCAATGAGAGCTGCGCTCCGCTCCCATTGACAGGAGTTAAATACATTACGCACAGAGAGCGAGAATACGCCTTACAGCCGACACAGCAGGGATTGAGTGAATGCAGAAATGACTTCTGTATGGTATTGAATATGACAGCGCGAGCGGGATATGGGACGTAGGGTGTGTGTGTGTGGTGTTAAAGTTGACATTCCCATGGCCAGAAGCAGCGCGCGCGGGCTTCTCCGCCACAACAACAGCAAACTGGACACTTTCCTCAAGAGGAACACCAGTCGGGATGTGTACGAGCGGATCCGGGTCTACGAGCCGTGTGTGGTGGTCTCGGGCTCGGTCAAGAAGGTTTTTATGCATGTGATCTTGAGCGATGAGCGCGTGTATCTGAGCGAGTATCAGCCGCGCGCGCTGCGAGAGGCGCTCAGCTTCAGACACATCAAGAGCATCGAGCTGGTGAGACACACACACACACAGAAATCAATGCTATTATCAATTTATCACAAGTACAATGATTACAAGCGATTACAAAGAGTAAAATTGATTAGCCCAGCTAACAAGAACGTTTGCTAATGAAAAGGTTATCTCTGACTATCCTCTTAACGTCCCATTTTTTTGAAAGTTTAAAAAACGTTCTTAGTTCTGTGTATAAAAACGTTCTTGGTCATGTGAACGTTAGAGAAAACTTTATGGGAACATTCCATTTGATCATTTTGCAAACATTATGGGAATGTTGCCTTGTAACTTGTAAGAACGTCCAGCTAAAATCTTTGAGAGAAACATTCCATGTATGATATATAAATAGCCTATATATTTATTTTGTGCAAACATTTCTACAATGTTATTAAAGTAACTGAACAAACATGGAGAGAATATTAACCAGTTACGAAAACGGGAATGCATTTACTAAAACAACAATAAGGTACAATACAGTACAACACTATATAGTAAAATAACAGTACAAGGCAATGCAGTTTGCACATCAACAGAAGCTATAGGAACCATATATCGCATAGCCTAATTGCTCAATGATAAAATTAATTTGTGATATTTTGCTGACTTCTTTTTATTGCATTAATTCTTTATTGCAAAATTAATTAATTATAATTTAACTTGGCCGCACTCTTCTGAACTGGATTCACGTGTTCCTGACAAAACTAAAAAACAAAGCAAATCCCACACACTACCAATCTTTGCAAAAAGTATCAAAAAAGTTTCACAGTGAAAAACCTGGAAATATTACGGAATTTCAAAAGTGTGGTTACTAGACCTAGAAAAAAAAAGATACAATTTGGTTAGAAAGTACTCTTTGTGAGAGCAGAGTCCTTATTAAGTTATCTCAAATGATTAAAAAAGTCATGGAAAATCATAAAATTAATCATCCAAAAATGCGGAAGCATTTTACACGCCAAGAGACTTCATAAACTTATTTTTGAATATTTATTAAATGTATATTTCTCATTCTCTCACTGAATTGCTTGAGCGATTATGTATAATTATATATTATTTATTTATTAAATTATATGAATTATTATTGAAATACATTAATAGTCATGCGTTATTTATTTACTGATTTACTGATATTTTATAAATCATACATCACTTGCCGCTGAGTCAATGTGTTCTAAATGTCAGCTAAAGCACGACTGTCTGCTAAGACAATGCTAATTATAGTGAGGACGTTTGCTTATCCTGTCATGTTAAACTGCTTAAAGAAGGTGTGTTTGGTAAGCTCATGTGCGTACAGCTCAAAGAATGAGTCATGGAGCGCTTCAGCGCTGAAAGACACACACAGATCAAACATGTAAATGTCACAATTACCAAGAAAAGCAATTTGTCTGTCATTATTAACACCTAGGTGCAAATGCATTTTCCTCATATTTAATAGATACAGTAAATGTACAAACAAAGTAATGATTCTAATTGATCATTGATGATTAGACGTTATTAAACAGTCATTCGAGTGGCTTACACTGATGTAATTAGGTCAATGTTAGACTCTGTCTTTCCTCACAGATCAATGATTTGCCAGATTTCCTCAGCGGACAGGACCGTGAGCGCTCAATGCACATCCGTGTTGTTCATACCGCAAAGGATCCTGGGAAAAAGAGCTCAAGACCCAAAGGATCCGTTCAGAATAAGCCATCATTTCCATCGCGAGGACGCAACTCGAGTGCCCGTCATTCTCTGGAGGGTAAAAAAAGCTATTTAATTCAATCAAGAATGAACTATTAATCAGGAATTCATGAACTGTTCTCAAGCAGGCGATGCAAAGCATGACTGCGTAACTGTTGAGTATCGTTAGAGTCCATGTTTCCCTGGACAGTGTGATGTGAAGCTGTATGTGTGTTAATCCGTGAGCTCTGTGAGCTGTGGGGATGAAGCAGTCTAACCCACATTGACATGCATGTGTGTGCCACTCAGCTGTGAGTTTGTGTTCATCTTAACCATTAAGAGACACTTCTGCATTGAGCTTTAGTGTACGGCAGAGCAGGAAAGCTGCTTAACTAGCACCGGATAAACAGCTAAAGCAGGTGATCTGTATAGACCGGACACACAAAAACACTCAGCGTTTCTACATTACTTGAGTTCATCTGTGAATGCATGGAGAGGATTCACATTTGCTCTGTTACTGTAATGGGTCAATGACAGATATTTATCTTATTTGCAAACAAGCAGAACAATGAAACATATTCTCAACATTTAAACAAACAACAGAGACACACCTGAAACAATGGCAAATGAGTTATTAAGAACAATGAAAATATGTACATAGTGACAAATTGTTTGGAGTTTTCAATATACAAATTAAAGGGGTGGTTCACTGTTTTTTTTCTAGGCTTGATTGTGCAGGAAGTAGCTCGTTGTAGTCCCTACCAGCTGTTTTTGTAGGCATTAAACTGCCAGAATTTTAAAAGACGATATCTCCGATAGCTCCTGGACGATATCTTGCATTGAACGTTCAGCTTCGTAACTTTGCAGATATTGTTTATGCTCAAACAGCAACATTACACACTAACTAACGTTAAAAAAGTGAAATCGCAATGAACCACCCCTTTAAGTGACTCGAAAACTAATGACATATCTTACGTTTTTTACATTTTTCAAGGTCAAATTAATTTTTAGAATGATGTCTTTTTATATTCAAAACATAATCATAATATTCAAAAAAGATTAGATTATTAAATATTAATAAAATATGGGACAACTGTATATATCTATATTTTTCTTTAATAAATAATACTAAAAGTTAATCATATGCCAAACTGCAAGGTTTTTTAAAGTTTTTATTTATTTATTTTTGTATACATTTTTTGGAATTATGACATCAAACATTGAATAATATTTAAAAAAAATATTAAATGATGAAATATTATGTTAAAATAATACAATATGTGGAAACGGTAATATCTATATTTTTAATAAACAATACTAAAAGTTATTTAATTATATAAGTATATTAAACAAAAATAGTTTATACAAACCACAAGTTTTTTTGTCTCAGGAGAGTTACACCACTTTTTTGCACCTTAAAAACATCAATATTTATCAACAAGGAGATATATTCAAGTAATTGTCTGTATAAATTGCAGTTATGAAGACATAAATAATGTGACATTGATGTTTTTAAGCTCAGGATAGATTGAAACACCATGATGAAGGATTTCTTGAAGCTCAAAGAGTAGAGCAACGCCAAGGTCATGGCTTCAATTCCCACAGCAAGCAAGAATGGATAACATGTGAATGTGTAACTTGAATGCAATCTAAGTCACTTTGAATGACAGCGTCCGCCAGATGTATAAAAGTAATTGTAAATTTCATGAAGATTTCAAATGGTCATCTCAGATGCACCTAAGCGTGAAATAGAAGTAATTGTGTTTTCTGATCCTGCAGGCGTGAGTCCCAGCTGGAGAATCTCTCCCACATCAATGAGGTAAAGTGTTCACCTGACACAAGCGCTGGGATGAGCCATTCTAACGCTTTATCTCTTTTACTGCCTCTCAGAGCGAACAGACTCTGTAGCGATCATATTAAACCAACCGCTGCCTTAATAAATGCAGAGCTATTCTGAATCCCACTGCTCGGTCTGTATCACACGGGACGCGCGTGTGTGTTGTGCTTAGAAACTAAATTGATTAAGTTCTTGTCTGTGCTAAGATATCATAGATACATAGTATTATGATTTATAATACTGCTGAAATGTCATCAAGCTGAATTGTTCAGCATCACGAAAAATGTGTCTTGGGCTTTTGTCCAGTGACATGCAAAAGAAAGCATTCATTTAATGGATGAAACGTTGACTTTTTAGTGACTTTTTGTATTTTATTGCACTGCAGTTTAAGAAATGAAGAAGAAAATAAAATGATATCAAATTGAAAATATTGGGTTGTGGGAAAAAATTGTTAGAATTTAATGTTCTATTTAATTTTGTTTGCATTTATTTGATTAAAATCCTATTTGCAGTAACATAGTTGTTGTAATTTACAGAGCATGTTGCTCTCTGAAACGTCTGAAGAGGAAATGAGGAGAGCACAGAGGTCACGTTTCATATGCATGTTTAATGAACGCAGAGAAAAGAAAGATGCATCTTGTAAACTGGAAACCGCTCGCAGTTAATTAAGTGTTGCATTTGTGGTTTCATGCTGATTTTCTGGCTATATAATTACAATATCGTTTTTGTGCTATTTTGTGTGTTATTTTAGCATTATCGGGGTAATTATAGTTCACTGAAACCAAGACCATAAAAATCTTTGTCACTTCAAAAATAAAATAAAATCAATTTTAACTGGAATAAATTAAAATGTAAACAAAAAAAACTTAAACTTAACCGTTTTTTTATTTCAGCTTTTTTGTTTTATTTTCAACACTTCTCGTTTTCATGTTAATGTACAAAAATAATAATGAATGAAATTAAACAATTAAATCATAAATTAAAATAGACATATTGAAAAACGAAATCTAATATAAATGACAAAACACACAACAAAATGAACTACAATTAAAATGGAAAATCTAAAAATAAAAACAAATGTAAAATATGAATAAAAAGTATCTCAATGATATTAAAATAACTTGACTTAAGTAATAACTTAAGTATTATTTTTGTATGTATTTAATTTTAGTTTATTTTTATTATTTATTTGTTTATTTTGTACAATTTTGGTACACACTTTTGTCATTTTTATTATTATTTATATATATATATATATATATATATATATATTTTAGTTTTATTTCAGTTTTAGCTTTTATTGAGTAACTTTAGTACTTATTTCAGTTAGCTGTCAAAGCAACATTTTAAAGTTAAGTTCTTCATCTATTATGTAAATTTTATTTCAGCTCTATTTCAATTAACAATTGTTTTTATTAGTTATAGTTTTAGTTAACAGTAACAACCCTGATATTCATAACGAAAACTGGAAAATTTGAATGCTGAAAACCACTTGGTTTCCAAAACTGACCAGCACTGCTGCACATGATGCGTTTTACACTGCTGACAGCCCATGACTTTACCGCGGTGAGCAGAGGAGGAGGATTGGCGTCATTCGCGCTGTTGCCAGGGCACAAGATGAGCAATAAACGTCCAATTAAAAGACCCTGTTTGTCTCAGCAAAACATGGCAGCCTGACGTTCTTAACAACACGTGTTTGTGTGGGAGATGAACGTGTGATTTCTCTCAGTAGTGCTACAGCGAGTCGAACCCGACCCCAGGGACACCATTAGTTCACGTTTAGCACATATTTGTGAGCACTCGCCATTGAGGAGTAAACCACATGGGAAGTGCTTTAAACCTGATTTAAAGGCAGCTTTTCCATAATGTAACTATCAATTGAAGGTTTTATTGAATCGGTGGTGTGCGGTTGTACAGACACGGTCGGCGAGCAGTTTTTAGACTTCGGTATGAGAAGGAAAAGTAGGTCAGTTTGTGGGCATTTTCCACTGGGGGAATAGTGAGAAGGTTGAGGCGTATGGAAAGTTTTTCTCTTTATCCTGCATCCTATTAGGAGATTGAAATGGGAGGATGATGATGATGGGACGGAAAGACCTTGTCTGGCATCCAAACCGTGAAGTTCTGTGCGCCTCCTCATGGAAATGTTCTGTCAGTGCAACTAGATTGAGGTGTTGCAACCAGAAGTAGCTTTTGTGCTGCTTCATCAAAGGCCCTGTTCAATTCTACAGTTCAGAGGAGCTCTTTGAAGAGATCTGCTTCATTATAAATAGATCTATCTTAGACCAGTTCATTAGAAAGTTAACCCCTGAAGTATTTTTGTTCATTTTCTACAGTAGTTTGAATCCTTGAGAGTTTGAGGCCTTGAGCACATGTGAGGCCATCTTACTCTTAAAATTGAAACTTAAAATTTAAACCTCATTTTAAACACATTTATTTTATTTTATTATTTTATTTTAATATACTGTACTATAGTTTTTATAAATATTTTGAATTAGTTTTAATTTTTTATACTTTAATTTTAGTGAAATTTTTAGTATTTTTATGTCTATATAACTTTTAATTATTTTTTATTTCACTTTTAGTTTCATTTTAATGTTTCCTTGCCAACTAGTTGAAATAAAATATTTTTTTAAATATTTTATTTTATTTTTATTTAACATTTATATTATTTCAAGTAACAATTTTTTAATGATTTTACTTTTATAGCCCTGTTTTCCATGTCATAACATTTATAAAATATGAATAATATCATTAATTTAATGTTAATATGATTATTATTGATAATACTATTCATGTAATATTAATATTTAAAACCAAAACTAAAACCAATTTTTTAAATTTATATTTATATTATTAGTAATAAAAAATATAATAATAATTTAATATTAATTGCAGTTTTTAAAAAAACTTTTTTCTTCGCTATGCTTTTAATGAAGTCTTAAAGGGATAGTTCACCTAAAAATGATAATTCTGTCATCAATTATTCACCAAACCTGTATGAGTTTCATCATAAAAGAAGACATTTTGAAGACTGTGGGTAAGCAAACAGTTTCTGCTCCCCAATGACTCCCACAATATTTTTTCCATACTATGGAAGTCAATGGCTACCAGCAACTGTTTGTTCACTAACATTCTTCAAAATATCTTCTTTTACATTTAGCAGAAGAATGAAACTCAAACAGGTTTGAAAACAACATGAGGGTGGGAAATGATGACAGAAATGTAATTTTTGGGTGAACTGTTGTACCCCTTTAAGATCTTAATCACCTTGACATGCTTGACTTGCCCTAAAAATACATATATATGTTTGTCTGTTATAGTGATGGTGGTCTGGAGGAAGAAGAAGGCAGTGTCATTCCGAGCTTCCTGTCCGAACCCGGATGTTTTGGCTCTGGCTGTGTTTAATACGTCTCCCGCTCACTCCTCCAGCTCCAGTGACCAGCGGCAGAGTCCCAGCGCTTCAGTCCCGACAGCACTGATGAGGAGAGCATCAACTGAGGAGCAGGAGCAGGAGCAGGAGGAGGAGAAAGAGGAAGAGTTACACCTTTATGCTGTGTCTCCATCATCACGAATATACCTCCACCTGCAGAGCTCCTGGAGCAGCTACATCATAGTAAGTGTTTGTGGAGTCAGTTTCTACTCGCTTTGTGTTTAATGGCCAACATTCATTTTGTATTTGACCATTGTTGCACATTGTAAGTACTACACATATAATGGAAGTCTATGTGTAGGCATTGCAATGGTATAAAGGTTCAAACTGAAAGGCTAAAAAAAAAATACTTTCACTGTTTTAAAAAGTAAAGTGATAAAGTATTGCTAAAAAAGATGATTTTAATGATTAATGACATAAAATGATTTAAGAAATATTTATTTTTATTGTTATTAAAACTTTGTTATTAAATATTATTTATCAAAATTATTGATATTAAGAAAATAATAAAATAAAATTATAAAATTATTATTATATATAATAATTATTAAAATGAATAAAATCATTATCTTGTCTCTTAAAAAAACTTTTATTTATAATAGTTTGAATATAATGACATTTTGTTGGGTTTTGACCTTGCCATGAAAAGTTGTTAACATATTAATAATAAATTATTATTATTATTATTAACAACAATAATTATTGTTATTAAATATTTTAAAACAAAATCGATTCCCTTATTTTTTAAATAAATTAAATTAATATTATTCATAATAAAAAATAAAATAAAATAATAAAATTATCTTAACTTTAGTTTTTAATCTTATATCATTTTAAGGTTTGAATATAATGAAATTTTCTTGGGGTTTGCCAAGATTTATAAAATATTTATCATATATAATTATTATTATTATTATTATTATTATTAATTTTATATTCCTAATTAAATGTTTGTCTGTTATAGTGATGGTGGTCTGGAGGAAGAAGAAGGCAGTGTCATTCCGAGCTTCCTGTCCGAACCCGGATGTTTTGGCTCTGGCTGTGTTTAATACGTCTCCCGCTCACTCCTCCAGCTCCAGTGACCAGCGGCAGAGTCCCAGCGCTTCAGTCCCGACAGCACTGATGAGGAGAGCATCAACTGAGGAGCAGGAGCAGGAGCAGGAGGAGGAGAAAGAGGAAGAGTTACACCTTTATGCTGTGTCTCCATCATCACGAATATACCTCCACCTGCAGAGCTCCTGGAGCAGCTACATCATAGTAAGTGTTTGTGGAGTCAGTTTCTACTCGCTTTGTGTTTAATGGCCAACATTCATTTTGTATTTGACCATTGTTGCACATTGTAAGTACTACACATATAATGGAAGTCTATGTGTAGGCATTGCAATGGTATAAAGGTTCAAACTGAAAGGCTAAAAAAAAAATACTTTCACTGTTTTAAAAAGTAAAGTGATAAAGTATTGCTAAAAAAGATGATTTTAATGATTAATGACATAAAATGATTTAAGAAATATTTATTTTTATTGTTATTAAAACTTTGTTATTAAATATTATTTATCAAAATTATTGATATTAAGAAAATAATAAAATAAAATTATAAAATTATTATTATATATAATAATTATTAAAATGAATAAAATCATTATCTTGTCTCTTAAAAAAACTTTTTTTTGTAGCGATCAACTTTGATGCTGGACCCAGTGTACAGGAAGAGATGTGGCATATCCTACTCTTCTCCCCAGAAACAGAAATATCAGAAAATCAGGTTCTGCGTCTTTCTGGCTGAACAGCTTGCGTTTATGTGTGTGGGCAGGCTAAGAAAGCGTCTGTTAATGTGTTTCCAGCTGGGAACGGACGTGTCACTTGTTCAGTCAGCTGAGCGGAGAGCTGCTGCAGGAGAACATCAGCCTGGAGAGTCTGTATTTACTCCTGCAGGAGCTGCACACGGCCACGAACCGCAACCCCACCATCAAGAAACTCTTCTGGAGGGTAACATGCAGCTGTCTTTATCCAAATGCATGCACTGTTCATCCAAAAATGAAAAATTCCCTCACAAAAGCCTTCTTTTTTGCTCCTCAGTCACCGGATCTTTATCCTTTCCTGGTGAAAACGCTGTCGGAAAGCTCTCAGGGCGGCCAGGAGGGAGTTCACACAGCCGACAGACTTCTGTAAGCTTCCAAATGCAGCTCATGCATATATAACCCATGCATGAGATACCCAGCTGACAGGAAATGTTCTCACAGCTTTCACTAAAGTTTTTGCAACGTTATAGAAATGTTATTATAAAATGGATAGTTCCGGTCCTTGACTCTGATTGGCTGAGCCACGTTCGAAGCTGTTGTAAATTACTCTACAAACATACACCTTTGTTTACGTTTGTCTGTTGCTTGGCAGAGGATTATTCAAACATTTTTGTAACATTTCAATAACGTTCTAATCATGACGAGATAATTGGTGATTTTAATGTTCTTAGAATATTAAAAATAAATGTTGTACTAAATTGTATTTTTACCCCAAATATAACATTATTTGAACGTTTAAAAATGTTTTAGTCACCTTTAAATAACGTTCCAATCACAACGATAACTGGGCATTTTAACGTTCTTAGAATATTATGAATAAACGTTCAAATAACATAATATTTTGGGTAAATAAAATTAAGTCGAACGTTTAAGAAATGTTTTAAATACCTTTAAATAATGTTCTAATCACGACACGAAAACTGGACTTTTTAAAAAAAGTTCAAATAATGTTATAGTTTGTGTGAAAATAATGTTAGTAGAACATTGCAAGAAACGTTTTTGTAACCTTTAAATAACATTCTAATCACAACAAGAAAATTAAAACATACTTAGAATATAAAAATGAAACGTTCAAACTATGTTATATTTTGGCTAAAAATAACATTTAGTAGAACATTTTTGTAACCTTTAAATAACATTCTAATCACAACAAGAAAATTAAAACATACTTAGAATATAAAAATGAAACGTTCAAACTATGTTATATTTTGGCTAAAAATAACATTTAGTAGAACATTTTTGTAACCTTTAAATAACATTCTAATCACAACAAGAAAACCGGACATTTGAACATTTTTAGAATATTAAAAATAAACGTTCAAATAACATTATATTGCGGGTGAAAATAATGTTAGTAGAACATTGTAAAGAAACATTGCTTCTAACCTTTAAAGAATGTTATAATCACAACAGCAAAAAACCCCAGACAGTTTAACATTCTTAGAATATTAAAAGTAAACGTTCAAATAATAGTTATATTTTGGGAGAAAATAAAGTGTTGTGATGTTTTGGTAATCTTTAAATAACATTATAACTGCTATAATTACGACAAGATAATAATCACGAAACGTTATGATCACAACAAGAAAACCAGACATTTCAGTCTCATAACAAGCTAAACTGTCTGTGTTTAGAACTTCGACAACAAGTTTTACAGTGTTCTCAGGTTGACATTTCTCAACTTCAAACCCATCGCCGAGCACATTTTCATGACCTCTGCTGTAGGTTTTCTGTCTGACGTGTCTCTCTGTCCTGCAGGCTGTGCACTTTGGTGGTTCAGATATTAAGCCTGATGTTCAGGGAAACAGAGATCGAAGCGGCGAGGCTCAGCATGCTGACGGCCAAACAGTGAGTGATTCTTCCTCTCCAGTAATACCAGCGCACTCATTTCAGCTTATTTCACTGAGCAATGGCTGCTGTTTGACACAGGGGAGCTCTTACGGAGAACATGCTGCTGGCTTTAGTGTGTGATCCAGATCTCCAGCTGCCAGACTCCACTGATGCCTCTAAATCTTCACTTAATAAGGTATAAATAATGGAAAAGTGAAAGGTTTGGTTATCATATACTCACCCTTGCTTCCCAGGTGTAAGGAAAAGATGAAATAAGTTCTTTTTTGTTTAGTTTTTTTTTTCCATTCGTATCTTGTTTATGATCAATTGATTTATGATAATGAAATGTAATTTATGATAATGAAGCGTCTTTGTGTGTCGCAGCTGCAGGCAGACTATCTGGATGCGGCGTCTGCGCTGCTGTTTGAGCTGGTTGTGTTCTGTCAGGAGGTGAGTAGCATTATCTCATCTATGTGTATAGATTTGTTTCAAAATAAATAATTATAAATAAAATGAAATTTACATTTTTTTCATGTTTCTGAATGCAGTCTCTTTTGCTCAACAAGGCTGCATTTATTTTATTTAATGAAAAATAATAAACAATAAAAATAATAATAAAGAGTAAAAAGCTGTAATATTGTGAAATATTATTACAATTTAAAATAACTGTTTTCTATTTGAATATATTGTAAAATGTAATTTATTTCTGTAATCAAAGCTGAATTTTCAGCATCATTACTCCAGTCGTCAGTGTCACATGATCCTTCAGAAATTTACATTTAGTAAAACATTTAGTATTATTATTATCAATGTTGAAATCAGCTTTCGCTGCTTATTTGTATTATTATTATTTTATTTTATATTTTATTTATTTATTTATTTTTTGGAAAACCATGATACACTACCTGCTGGGGTCATATGTTTCTTTAAAAAAAGAAATAAATATTTGTTTTCAACAAGGACACATTAAATTGATCAAAAGTGACAGGGAAGACATTTATAATACAAACGATTTATATTTAAAACATATGCTGTTCTTTTGAACTTTCTGTTCATCAAAAAAAAACATTTTTACAACACTGATATCACAAGAAGAACCGTTATTAATAATTGTGCATCATCAATAATTGATAATAACCAAGCAGCAAATCAGGTGCATATTAGAATCATGTGACACTGGCGTAATGATGCTGAAAATTCAGCTTTGATCACAGGAATAAATTACATTTGACAATATATTCAAATAGAAAACAGTTATTTTAAATTGTAATAATATTTCATGACATTACTGTATTTCCTATATTTATGATCAAATAAATGCAGCCTTGGTGAACAGAAGAGACTATTATAAAAAATCACTATTATTCGGTAGTGTGTGTATACGCATATATAACACTGATCAGCTTTACTGGTCTGATTTGTGGCTCAAAGGCTAGTCGCACACCTGCTCTGGGACATTTCCTCACCATCGGCTGGGTGTTTCGCTTGCTTAAACCGCATCCGTTCTTAGTAAGTATATACCCGTTTCATTTTCATGCATATTTGCATGAATCCACACGATTAGCTTCCGTATCAGAGCGCCTGTTTGAGCGTAGGTCCTGTTCGCTCTTTCACAGCTCCCGTTCGTGGGCTATCAGGCCCAGCAGCTGGTTCTGGTTCTGTGGGGTCCTCAGGATCCTCTCAGCCCATCTCAGGCGGTTCTCCTGTTCCAGCGCTGCCGTGTTCTGTTAGCCTGTCTGCAGCACAGCGCCTGTCTGAGCAAGTACATCAGGACGGGGTTCAAGGAGGAGTTCAGGTTCTTCGTGAGCTTCAGATATTTTCAAGGCTGAGACACAGCTGTCAGATCTTTTATTATAATATCCTCTGTTTATTATAGGTACTATGTGAAGACGTCAGGGCTGGAGGACAGACTGCCCCATCACTACCCCATCAGTCAGCCTGCCCAGAACCTTCTTTCCCAGCTCCTCAGTCTGGTTCTCCAGAAACCTTGAGCTCTGGCTCTTTCTCTTTCTGTTCCTCTGGGATTCATTTCTTGTTTTATTTCTGCAGATAGACGTTGGAATATGCCTTTGAATGAACATGCTGCACTTTAAGATTGAGTCTTGTATTGTGTCTTACTATGTTTTGAACAGAGACTGTGGGATTTTACTCTGCCTTTGTCTACACTCAGGATTATTATCACTGCAATATGTGTGTAAAATATCGGCAATTTGATGGAAAGTCAGTGCAGAGAACATTTAATATATTCAAATATTTATAAAATAATGAACATAATGTGCACTTTTCAATGAACAATTTCAAGTTTGGCAGGCCACTCTAACATATCACAGTATTATAATATGAATCTTTTTCATATTTGTTTTGCTGTACTGTAACTAAAGCCTGATGCACTTGTTTATTTTGGTTGGTTTTTGTTTGAATGCACTTTTTCTCTGTAAGACTCGACTGATTTTCAGGGACTCCATGAACCCCAAGGCCTCAAATTAATAATACCAATATTTTTAATAAACATCTGTGTCTGTGACATTTTTATAAACCTAATTGTTGACTGGGTGTTTTTGTATATGCAATAAATAAACGTGTATGTAAATGCAGCATTTGCAGTGTAAATATAAATGATAAATAGAATTGCACATTTTTATGTATTTATTTTTGCATACAATAAATTGACAGAATTACAGCTTGACTGGAAGTGACACGCAATGGAAATATTAAGTGATATTTACCCTGTTTGTGTGTGTGTGTGTCACGGTGAAAGTTTTTAAGGTGACAAATATGATTTACAAAGAAAGCCCTAGACCTTTAATTTGATTTATTTATTTGATTTTATACACCTGATCCTGCTGTCATAATGCAAAGCGTTATTTTTTATTGCCAAGTCCAATCCAACAAACTATAAATTGACATTAATTATTTTACCTCAGTACATTTAGTGGTTTGTCTTTATTTCCCTCTTATATCATACGAATTTCAAATATGTAATCATTAATATTTTTATTATGGATTTTCATTTTTTTTTTTATTGAAAATCTGGATCTGGGGCAATAAAATGATTAATTTTAATGTAATTCATAACAAAAATCCTTAATAAAACCTATCCTTTTTAATTTAAACTATACATAATATAACAAAAAACTTCTTAAAATGCTGAAGAACAAAATGGCTATTTTCGGAATATGACAGGAGTACAGAACGGGAACGGGTGTTCGTTAGTGTTTGTTGCTGCTGGGGAATGTTTTCCAAGCGCACCGGAAACAGCGTGGGGTTATTGAGCGTCAAGATCTTCTGAACTTGTAAGTCGAAGTGTGTCTTTACGTTTGTCTTTTAAATAAACTGCGAAGACGATAGTGATTATAAATCGTCGGTGTAAAGCGCACAATCACTATTAAACGCGTCTTCTAAACGTGACTAGTTGATGTAAGTGAATGGCGGGAGATTAACATGTGGCTCATCATTGGATTTGCTGAATTTAACGTTAACTTAAATACAAAACAGATTTTAAATGATTCAAGCTTAAAGTAGCCGAATATGACACTTTAATGAACGTGATATAATAACATTGCATCAACTATTTAAAAAAAAAATCATTTTGAGAGGTTAACATGTTTTTACCTTGAACTACATCTACATTACATGGCATTTGTAGACGGTTAAGAATAAAGCAGATGGTCTATTTAACTTAACTTTTATGTCATTCGTTTTATATTATAGCTATGTTACTCTGATAAGGCCATTTTCCTGTCACCTGTCAGCAAACGTCCTCGCATCATCCAGAGAGTAGAGAAGATGTTGAGAAACGCCTCTGCACAGGTAACGTTAACCAAACAACACGCAGAAGTGTTCATGTTCGCTCAGGAGGATTATTACAGGCTGACTGTTATTATTCTGTCCTGACAGATTCTTAAACAGTTCGTCCGGCACAGGACTACAGATACAAATCTGATCTTGGAGAGATGTGAGTGTCTGTCAGTCCCTGTATGCACTGGCTTTTGTGTGACATGTTATTGATAAATGTGTTGTCTCTTGACAGCTATTAACCGGGTGCAGCTGCTTGGGCGAGTGGGACAGGACCCCGTCATGAGGCAGGTGGAGGGCAGAAACCCTGTCACCATCTTCTCCATGGCAACAAACGAGATGTGGCGGTCTGGGGAGGGAGAACCCACAAGTACAGGTGAGATCAATCTGTGTACTACTCCCATCATATTTTTGTAATGGAGAAACACGCATTTAATTTTATTTGACTTCATCAGTATTATTATTTTTTATTATTCATATTTTTCATATATTTTGTTCATGTTTTATGTTATTTTTATATACATATTTGTATTTGACTTTATTATTATTAATAATGTTTAATATTTTTGTATTGTATTATAAAATCTACTATTTTCTTCATATGTTTTTAATTTATATAATTATTTGATTTTATTATTATTAAAATGGTTTGTTTGTATATTGTAATTTTTTCATGTGTTTGTGTGTATATATATATATATATATATATATATATATATATACACACACACACACACACTAATCTTTAGTAAATCTTAAAATGCATGTCCATTTTTCATACTGTACTTTAATATTGTGATGCCGAAGTTCACTTGTTGCATTTAAAATGACTTTAAAATAAAAAGAAATTCATTTACAGTACACTAGGGATATGCCGGTATCAAATGTTCATGTTGCGATTAATTGCTAATGCTTTTATTACGGTATAT